CACGTAGCTTGTTTGCATGTAGCTTCTCATCGACACGAGAACGTAGGACGTAATCACCGACAGAGAAGTTTATAGGTTGCTCGTGGTGTGGTCGTAGCCGGTACCGTTTGCTCTGGCGTTGTCGCTCGTCCTTGACGGGCTTGTGCATGTTGCGGATGTTTTTTCGAAGTTTGTTAAGTCGCTCTATTGTACTTGGCTTTGGCTTGTCCAGCGTAGTTACACCCTTCCCTCCCGGAAAAAATACCGTGTCTAGTGCACTGGGGCATGGTAGTCCCGTAAATAGCTCGACTGGAGCCCGGTTAGCCAGCGACGGTACCGGGGAGTGATTTAGGCTGGACTGCACCAGCGAAAGTAAGTAAGGCCAATCGTGTAAGCTGACTTTGTACTCCAGTGCCAGTGCCCTCAGTACTTGCAGGATGTCCCGGTTCACGCGCTCTACTGAGCCGTTCTTCCAAGGTGAGTATGCTAGCACGAACTCTTGACGACTTTTCAGCCTTCGGCCAAGTTCTGATACCACCTTGTTTTTAAAGTGTGATCCAGAGTCGCTTACCCACACCCTAGGTGCTCCAAAGCGACTGTGCCAATCCAGGATGGTACTCGCTGCAACTTCAGAAGTAGGGCTATTACCAGCCACCAGTTCCGTAAAGTGCGTTGCCTCATCTTTCAACACGAGCGTGTAGCGGGAGGTGCCGAAAGAATCACCCAGAGTCAAAAAATCCCAATGTAGCGTCTCGTTCCGTTCGTAGGTGTAGTGAGTTTCACTAAAAGGTCGGGGAATCACTACCCCTCCCTTCACATGTAGGCAGAGTAGGTATTTCGAGCAGAAGGCACGTACAATCCTTGTGAGGCCAGAAATGTAAAACAGCCGGCGTATGTGGTTTTCCATCACATGCATGCCGCGGTGTCCGTTTCTACCACAGTGCGCGACGACGAGAAGTCTTTGAATCAAGTCGTGAGCTCCACTTGGTATCCAAATCACGTCATTCATAAGCCATAGTTCATCACCACTCAGTGTTGCACCCTTCGGTGCGTCGTGCAGTGATTGCACGCTACCAATCTCCTCGACTGTAGGCCAGACGAAACCGTCCTGGTCTAGTGGGCGTAGCGGTGGAGGCGCTGGACTCGCCTTTGAACCGCTTCCACGCTTGCGATTGACTCGTGTAAAACTCTTGGCCGAGTGAATACGCGCTCTTGGTAGGGGTTTGCCGCCCCACCTCGATATCAGGTCCGTCCATACGTTGTGAATCCCCTCAATGTGCTCTATAGAGTATCGGTACTCTAATAATTTAGTGGACCAGCGTAAGAGTTTCCGCGCACATGCTTCTTAACTCTTTGCCGGGAGCGAAAAGGTAGACGATGTTCCGATGAGCGCAGTATAGTTTAAACCCTTGTGGACGAAGCAATAGATATTCCAGTCGTTCACACGCGTGAACGATCGGGAATGATTCCTTCTCGATAACAATCCAGTTAAGAGCTGCGCCAGTAAAACTGCCTCCCATACAGACCAGCAACTCATGGTCCTGTTGGTGGATTGGAATCTGCGGCTTCCATCGACTCACTTGCGATACAACTAAACCCCAGCCAGAATCAGAGGCATCAGACATCAGTACTAGCTGCTTGGTTGGATCTGGGTATGATAACGTCGCCGAATGTGCCAACAAGTCCCTTACTGTATCGAAACTTTTCAATTCCTCCACTGTCAAATCGATTTGCACCCCTGCTGCAGCTCTCTTGGTTTTTCTAGTGCCGACCAAGGCTGCGTCGAGACGTTCTTGTAATGGCCTTGCGACACGAGCGTAGTCAATAGACTTGCGCGCATCCAATTGGGGGCGCAGAGAAATTGCTGCAGCTCGGCGGCGGTCGCTGGCGGTGGCATATCTCTTAGGGCCTGGATGCGGCTCGGGTCATGACCGATTCCATCCTTGTTGATGATGCGGCCACACCAGCGGACCTCAGTTTGAAACAAAGAGCACTTCTTTGGATTTAGGATAAATCCAAACTCGTCCAGCCTCTGAAGTACGGCATCAATAATTTCAACCAATTTATCAGCGTTTTTGGCAAAAACTAGGAGGTCATCGATCCACACGATGACATTAGTGTTCACCAAATCACCTAAAGCCATTTCCACCGTCGATTGGAAGTGTAGGGCAGCGTCGGTGCTTCCTTGTGGAACCCGAGTTGGCGTGAACACGCCGCGGTCGGTCATGTACGAGAGAAATTCACGGCAGCTCTCGTGTAATGGGAGCTGCCAAAAGCCCTTGAAGAAGTCAAACATCGCGTAGTACATCATTCCTCTACAGTGTTCCAACGCCACCTCAAGACTCGGCATCACACCAGCGATAGGCTCGGTAAGAGCATTTGTCGGTCTATAATCCACTGTTTGTCGGTAGTCATCAGTGCTGGGCTTTTTAACCGGTAAGGCTGGGCAGCACCAGCGGCTCTCACGGTTTTCATAAACCCACCCTAATTCGACAAGCTTCTTGTTAAAAGTATCGAGAAATTCTGATTTTTCCGGGCTGTATTGGCGTACTTTGCACCGGTAGGGAGCTGCACCAGGTTTAGCCGGATTTTTAGAGGAGGAACTCGAGCTGGTGGATCGTTACCAACCTCCAGTCTCCAGCCTCCAAAACGGCGTAAAATAGTGTACAGTCTGGTCGTGATGTATTCATCCACAACGCCACGGTTAGCTGCGTCATGTACCAGAGTATTCACTACCTTCATTACCACATCTTCCTCTGTTGGCTTACAGGTCGGCATACCTTCCGGGTCATCAAAGGTCTCATCATCGTCTCCACGTGTTGCAAGATATTCCAATTGACGATCCACATTTATGCCAAGCTCAGCTAACAATGTTTTACCAACCAGAAACTCGTCCTCGTCGGACTCCACGATCAGGCATCGCTTCTGGTCTTGGCATCGTACTGGTCCCGCGGCCGTATTTAATGTGATGATCACATCGATAGCGTGGGTCGATGTCAAAATCGTACCTCCGACTGCACGCGATTCAATCGGCTCGCTCAATTCCACAGGAAGAATATTCTCATCAAGCTCGCAAATTCGATCAGCATGTTCTCGTGACATGATATTGTGGTCCGACCCATTATCAGCGCAGCAAGGTAGCTCAAGGAGTCCATTTAGTACGACAGTGGGTCGCTCCTGCGTGTTCGTCGTCGAGGTTATCTCCACACGCTTCGTACGAGACCGTTTATTCTCGTTTCCACTAAAGGTCTTCCTCTTGCTCTTCTTATCAGCGACAATTGCTTCTTTTCCCGCTTCGTTAAGATCGGGGCATTCACTGAGCCAATGATCTTTAGCGCAGCGAAAACATCCCGTGCGTGGTTTGCTTTTCACCGCAGGAGTTGACGACGACTTCATTGCAAGGACAGTGCGGGGTTGGCCGTCATTATTACGTTTTTTCTTGCCAGGTGATGGTTGGTCACTTTTCTGACGTGAGCCACGATCAGTACCACCCTTGACCTTTCCTCCACTGTTTTTCCAGTTTGATTGCTGCCTGCGTGTCGACAGTAATTGGTCCACCTTGGCCTGCTCCAGCGCTTTCTCTTTCACGAGGACGTACAGAGCGTTCTCGTCGGATTTGCTTGTAGTGTCCACAAGTCGTAGGTGACTATCCACTGCATCACGTAGGGCCACAGGTGCTAAGTGCTTCTTCAGTACTCGGCATTTTTCCTTAATACCTGTTGCTGTAGCAAAGGTACTCGCCAGTCCGTTCTCCAAAATGATCTCATCACACAGCATGAAATAGTTCAGGACGCGAGCTTTGACGTCTCGTTGATCAAGGTCCATCTTCAGCCTTGCATCAAAAATCGAGTCAATATCAAGAATGACATCATTCATGACATTACCGATGATCTTGTCCAACTCTGACACAATCCTGTCCTCCGTGATCTGTTCTACGGTGGTCCACCACTCAAACTTGCAGAGAGTCTTCAGGAGTTGCCGATTGAACGAGTTCTTTACGCTCCGTAGAGATTTTGACTTGTCTTCGCCAGTGGTAGCGTACCGAGCTTCGATTGCGTCCTCATACTCCTGCCTTTCCCTTTTCCATTTGACAAGAGCAGGATGGGAGATGTCGTTCACGTACGGGGGTCCAATTGACGAGGCCGACACCGGTATTGCTGTCGCAGCAGTCGTCGAAACTTCGATGTCTCCAGTAGTCGAGCTGGCAGCCGTTTCAGTCGTCTCAGTCAACGTGGTACCTTGGTCAACCTGAGATTGGCGGCTGCTGCGAGTTCGTATCGTTCACACTTGATCTAAAGTTAACTTTGTGACGTGTCAACAACAGTCTGGGAGCTGGAACTCCCGCGAAGACCAACTTGTATTGCTGATCAGATCGCAAAAGCAAAAGTGAGCTATCTAATTTAACTTGCGGGCGCTCTCGCCTGCCACCTTGGCAGTCCAAGGATAGCCGCCCTCAGAGCCTGCTCTGGTTGCACTCAAGTGCAAGTCCATCAGCAGCTGTGTCCTTTAATATCCGCTGTGTCTTCTTATGATCCAGCTGAACGCTGTTCATACCAGCATCATGATGTAGTTCATGATGTGCTTCACTATACTCCGTTGGAGCACACTCCATGTGTGTTGGCTGCGGGTTGTAGGAGCTATTAGAAGATGTGGCTTTACATGCCACCATCACAGTGCAATCCATGCCGAGAATGTCAGGATGTCATCTGTAATGAGCCGGAGTACGTGGGTGGGCCCAAGACAAGTATAGCGGTTGCTGGGACGGACACGCTTTTTTAAAGTTGATTTTATTAAAAGTAAACTGCTCGTTCTATTCATAGCGAACATAGACGTCTGTTTTACGTGCCCTTTTTTACGAGATGACCCTGCCCTCCTTACTATAGGATCACCCCTGAACAGGCAAGTTTGGTCGGAATTCACAGTTCTACTGTGCTAAATACATGTAGTATTCAGCAAAAAATAATACTTCGAAGTAAGTAGATTGATAGGGTACAGCTAAAACAACTCATCCTCCAATACGTCTACGGGGCCTCCGTATTCGACCGCGCTTCATCGAGCAACAGTTTACCGAGCATTTGTTTCATGTCGCTGACATCAGCTTCGTCGGCTTTAGCCAGGATCTTGCTGAACTTGTCAGCTCGCGCGTCGTTATCCGATGGTCTGCCGAATCCCACGGGAACTAAGTGCGTATAACTCTCCATTATCATCTTTGGCGGGTTATTTGGCCGCGTTTCAGTCAGTGGACGCACTACAAACCACGCAGTCTCGACCGTCTGAAGACCGTCAAACTCGCCCTGACCTTCAGCAAGAGCTCGCCACACAAACACAGCACGATTTGACTCGACGTATCTCTTTACGGCATTGGAAACCACCAACGTCGCACTGTTGCCCAGTTCCCGAGAGAAATTCAAGCGATACGTTCGGATCGCCGTGTTCTCGGGGTCTTCAAGCTCGTCGTTGTAGCTCGGAGCCAATATCATCAACGATACTGCGCGACACGTGTGCTCGAAGCTAAACGGGATCACTGTCGCGTCGGCACTCTCGAGGAAACTTTTGTCCTTGCTCCACTTCCGCTTCAACTCGTACGTCAGAGGTGGCGACATCTCAAAGTTGACGCCACTAATAACTGCATCAGTTTGGGCGTAGAGTGTATCCATCTCACATAGGAAGGTCTTAAGTAGCATCTCTCCCTTCCTGTTCCCTTGCGCTGCCGCCTTCTCCTCGTACGCGTCAAGACTATTGAGCATACGCTGCTGGCAAAGGACTGTCTTCATCCGGTGGATGAGCCCTGATTGATTCCTTATGGCAGTTTTCAGTCGTCTCTGCGTGTCCTCGGACTCGAGTCTACTCTCTTTCTGTTGTAGCGCAGCGGCTTTCCACGCATTCCGTTTCACCATCTTTTTATTCCTCGTGGTTCTTTCCTTGATCGGAGCTTCACGCATCTTCTTGAGCTTCAGAGTCAACTCCACCTCCTGCTTCTCGAGCGTCTTTCGCTCCACTTTGAGCTTCTTGAGGTACCGTGATCGACGATTGGCTGCCTGTGCGTTCTTTATCTTGCGGCGTCTCTCAGCCGACTTTGGACTTGAGCTCGAAGGTGAATCGGAGAGAGCTTCAATCAAAGTTTCACTTGTCTCCCCATCTTTGCCCGCTACCAGCAGCAGACCGTTCTTGCTGGCCACGTTCTGGTGAGCACCGATTGATGGCTCATACTCTCGTAGAAACTCAGCCATCGCCGCCATGGAGACTGCTTCCCGTTGCTGCTCGTCCGCCATCCTCACTTGGCGAGTTTGTGTACCGACATGCACGTGGAACGTCTACAAGTATTAATATTTCCGGACAAAAAGTACTATAGCAAGTACCATAGTAGTAGTATAAGTAGTTTTGACTGGAAAGAGATACTTACTTAATATCTACCCTACGATCGATTCGTTCGGTCCTGCAGCGGTGTACTCACCGCTGAGGGGCTTTGCAGTGCCACGGGGGACGTCACCGACTGCTGGCTCGATCGTCGGGCCTTTTTCGCGGATCGACGCGAGCCGCTGTTGGGGCTGGCGATAGTACAAGTTGCTGACTTGTTCGTCATGGGCGTCGTCGTCCCGTTCGCAGCCTTGGCGGTGCCCTGCTCGTAGATCTTTGGGTTGATCGTGACACTCTTCGTCGCGTCGTTCGTCTTGTAAATGCCCACCAGTCGATCTGCGAGCTCAAACATGTTGTTGCGCAAGGAGATGATGATGAACTGGGCGTTGCGCGTCCGTTGCTTGATGTAGTTGCCCACGATCGACACGTTCTTGAAGTCCAGCGCAGCATCGATCTCGTCCATCACGTACAGAGGCGTCGGCTTGTAGTGATGCAGCGCGAACACGAGAGCCAGCGACGCCAGAGTTTTCTCACCTCCAGAGAGATTCGAGATGTTCTTCCAGCTCTTCTTTGACGGCCGCACACTGAACACGACGCCTTCCGAGAACGGGTCCAGGGAATCCACCAGCTCCAGCTCAGCGTCACCACCCAGTGTGATCATCTGGTACATCTCCTTCAACTTGAGCGTAATGGTGCGGAAGCCAGTCATAAACTCCTCCAATCGCTTGCGTCGAAGCTCGTCGTACTCGTGGCGTTTGGCATCGCGCAGTTTCGTGGCTTCTTCTAGCTCCAACACACGCGCCTTGTATTCTTCCTGCTTCTGCGTGTACTCGGCCAACGCTCCCATATTGACGTTGGCCTTGAGCTCGTCGCGTTGCTGTTCGAGCACAGAAATCTCGTACTTCATCTCTTCTTTACTGTAGCGAGACAGCGCAGCAGGGTCCAGCATCGGGAGCTTCTCGAGAGTGACGTCCAGGTTGGCATCTTCCTCTTCTTCACTGTCCTCGGTCTCTTCGTCTTCCCCTTTACGCTCCTCGTCCATCGCCTCCTCTGCATTAGCGTCTCGGTTGGTTTTCTTCTGACGCTTCCGAGCGGGGAGATCTCGCTCATCTTCAAAGACACCAGCATTCTGCTCTTGCTCCGTGACGAACGCTTCGTGCAGAGCGGTGAGCTTGGACTTCCAGTACGTTTCCTTCTTGCTGTTCTCCTCCAGCATCTTCTCACAGTCCTCCAGACTGTTCGCTAGATCCACTTCAGCACTCGCCATCTCGTCGTACTCCTTTTTCAGCTTCCGGTACTTCGCTTCATCCTTACGCAGCTCCTTCTCCTTGGCAGTCACCTCTTCTTGGACAGTCTCGCACTTCTGGAGCACAGCCAACGCCTTCTCCTCCATCGCAGTGATCTGCTCGCGGGTGTCCTCGATTTTCGTTTTGGCGGCCTCGATATCTTCCTCAATCTTCTTCAGCGCCTGCTCGTTCTTTTCGGTATTCTTCTGGCTACTCTTAAAGTCGACGCGGATCTTCGTCATCTGCTTCGTCTTGTCAGCAATCTGCTTCGAGATCTTCTTGGCCACATCCTGCTCCTTCCGCAGCTTCTCCCCGCCCACATCGAGGATCTGCTCCTTCATTTTGGCCAGTTTCGCCGCCATTTTATCCACTTTCATCTTTGTGGTCTTGTACTCGGCTTCCTTGGCAGTCTTGGTCTTGTTGAGCTTCTCCACCTGCTTCTTCGCCTCTGGAGAGAGCGTCGTCTGCTTCTCCAATACGCTCGTATTCTTCCTGAAATCCTCCAGACGCGTCTTCGTAGCGCTTACATTCAACTCGATCTTGGGCAGATCGTTCTCGTACTGCTCGATCTTGCGACTGAGCTGCGTCAATTCCTTCTCCAGCGACTCCTTCTCGTCACGAATCTGACCCAGCTCGCTGCGTAAAGACGACGCCTCCTCCTGCAGACTGCGGATCTCCTCCTCACTTAAGCCGCTTGCAAGAGTACTGGACATTCCACCACTACGAGCTCGCTTCCCTCCACCAGACATGGCGCCAGACATCTCAACTAGCTGTCCGTCTAGAGTCACCACACGGTACTTGCATTGCCGTCCTTGATACGCGATCGCAGAAGCCTCGTCCAGGTCCTTCGCCACCAAAGTGTCACGCAGAGCATAGTAGAATGCTGGCAAATACTTCTCGTCATTCACCTGCACCAAGTCAAATAGTCGCGGGGCTTCTTGTCCAGAGGGAGCAGTCACACCGTGGAAGCGCTGCGAATATTTGGACTTTAGGTAGCCCAGTTGTTCTAGAATCAGGAAGGTCGTACGCCCCAGATTATGCTTGCGTAGATACGCCACACACGCCTGCGCCCCCGACGTTGTCTCGACCACCAAGTTGTTCAACGCGCCGCATGCTGTAGAGATGGCAACGTCGTACTTGCCGTCGATGGCTCCGAGATCTCCCAGGCGACCAAACAATCCAGCTTTCTCCAGCGGTTTGCCGGGCTTGGAGGCCTCGAGCAACTCTCGCAACATACGGTTCCGAGTGGCATGAGACTGCACAGCGCCAGAAGCCTCTTCCGCCTTTGTACGGGCCTCGCGATACTTCTCGGCTACGGAACTTTCTCTGCCTTTCACGTCCTCCAGCTCTTGCTCAGCAACGCCAATACGATCCTTCATCTTTATGAGCTTCTCCTGCTTCTCGTTCAGCTCTTCCTCCATTCCACGCAAATTCGCTTCAGCTTCAATAACTCCACAGGCGTTGGCTTCAAGCGCCTTCTTGGCGTTCGTGACGGGCTCCTCCACCAGCTGAATCTCCGTCTCGGTCGTGTCGATCACGGACCTTAGCGCATTCATCTCGCTCTGAAGCGGCTCCATCTCTTGCTGGATCTCCTCCATGGTACTACGAAGCTTGGCTGTCTCTTCCTTGTGACCCTCGACAATACTCTCCAGCACCTGCTCCTGCTTCTTGAGCTTCGTCTGCAGCTTCTCGACCTCTTTCTCCAGCTGTGGCACGAGCTCCTCGTTCTCCTGCATCTTCTGTTCAATGGTCTTCTGCTTCTTGAGCTCCTTCTTCTGCGCCGACTGCAGCTCCTTCTGTCGTTCTTTAGCGTACTTCAGCTCCTCCCGCAGCTTCACGTCCTGCTTCTCGAACTCTGCGTACTCCGCCTTGGCTCCATCCAGCTGTTTGGCCACTTCATCGTGCTCGCTCTTAACACGCTGATAAACGACCTCCACCGACTGCAGTTCCTCTCGGTTCTTCTCCATTCGAGCCAGTTCCGCCTTGTACTTGGCCTGCAGCTCGTCACGCTTCGACTCGCACAGCTCGCGGTTCTTGGACGCCTCCTGGATCCACAGCTGGTACAGAATGTTGGTCTTCATGTACACTTCCTTCTCTTTGCGGAGATACTCGAGCGCCTCTGCGCGTGGGCCCTCCAGGTGAGCCTTCTCCTTCTCCACCAGCTTGACGCGGTTCACTTTGTCTCCTCGCACGTCGTTGCACTGCTCCACCTCGTCCCACACGCGCTCGGTGGGCTCCACGTAGACGTTGGAGCCGATGATATCTTCCAGGTACTCTAGCAGTCCGTCCTCGTTCGTGCCCTCCGCGCCCTTGCTCTTCATCATGGCGATCTGCTCCACTTCTCCCTGCAGAATGAGGAAGCGGTTGTTGTCCAAGTCGATTCCCTTGGCCTGGAGCAGCTCGGTGACGCGCGTAAAGTTGCTGGGGCGGTCATTAACGTAATATTTGCTCACGTTTCCCTTCGTTGCAGTGCGTGTGACGCTGAACTGCGAGTTTGGAACGACTGTGTAGTTGGCTTCATTGTCTGTGGCTGTGGCCTCCTGCTCGTCTGTGTCGATGATTTCCTGGAAATAGACAGAGACTGTAGCCATGTCCAAGTTCGGGAAGTTGGCGGAGCGATGTACCAGCTCCGAGACTTTCTTGAGACGAAGCTTGGACGCGCGTTTGCCAAACACGAAGAGAAGCGCGTCGATGACGTTCGATTTGCCGCTGCCGTTGGGGCCCACGACGGCACTGAAGCATTTGTGGAAGGGGCCGATCTCGACTTTACCTGCGTAAGATTTAAAGTTCTCTAGATGCATCTTGGTGATCATCAGACGCTTCACAGGCGAAGGTTTGGCGGGCGTCAAGACTGTCGGAGTGGTGGCGACAGGTGGCGTCGGGCTCTTGGCGGTGGGCGTCGATGGCGGCTGAGTCTCACTCGTGGCCTCCTCCGTTTCCATCGACTCCTGCGCTGTTAAAACCTGTTGCTGTTGCGTTTCCTGTTCCTGTTCCTCTGTAGGCGGCGCAGCAGCGTCTACGTCCTGGGCTTCCATGATGCCGCCCTCAGTTTTGCGCGCGGAATTGACTCGGCAAATTTGTGAATCATATTACACTTGTCTTTTGTAGTCAAATGGCTACACGGAAGAAAAATTCAAAAATTGAAAAAGAAATTGAAGAGTGTATGTCGATGTGCATGTACCCATCTGGCAGTACGTTAGTTGTCCTCGAACGACTCGCTGGAGTGCCATGCCACGGTCGCCAAAGGCTGAAGCCTCTCTTTATGTCTTCGCTAAGGCCAAACTACCGCTTGACACGCTCGGTCGAGTGTTCTCTTTCGCCTGGACGCTACGAGATGCGCTGGCTGACAAGCTGGTGGACGTGGTGACGGTACTGCTGGCCACACGTGACTCTCCGTGCTCTCCAGGACTTGCGGACATCATCGCCGCCTCGGGTCAATTGGACATGCTGCAAGTGCTGCATTTATTCCAGGCCGAGGGTTTCTCAACTGACGCGATGGACGGGGCGGCTAGTAGCGGGTACCTGGATGTGGTGCGCTTCCTGCACTCGAACAGAAGCGAGGGCTGCACTAAACGAGCGGTGGATGGCGCTCTGGGCGCGCATCACTTCGATGTGGTGCGTTTCCTCATCCAGAGCCGACCCGAGAAGTGGTCAGGGCGAGCGACTCGCTGGGCGGCTGAGAACGACGATCTGCAGGCTGTTCGAGACATCCTCAAGAAGAACAAGGACACCCCCACAGCTGAGGCCAAGGTCGTGGCCTACAAACGGAAGCAGACGCAGATGCTCAAGGTTTTGTATGAGGAAGGAACGGATGCGCGTCCGTCGTACACTTTGGTACACGCCTGCGCGGACAGAGACCTGGAGATGGCAAAATATTTTACTTCAAAGGGCGAGGGCTTTGTCAAGAGCGCAATGTCTGAGGCCATAGCGGCAGGGGCGCTGGGGATTGTCAAGCACCTGCACGAGAACGTGTCTCAGAGATACACTGAGGCTAGTAGAGTGGTGCCGATGCAAGAAGCAGCGTTGAAAGGACAGCTCGAGGTGCTGCAGTACTTGAACGAACACGCACCGGAGTTGTCGTGTACTTCACGAGCGATGGATGACGCTGCAGCGGGGGGATTCTTGGACACTATCAGGTATTTACACGAGACTCGGGAGGAAGGATGCACCACTCGCGCGATGGATCGCGCTGCTACCAAAGGGCATCTCGACGTGGTGAAGTTTCTGCATGAGAATCGACAAGAAGGATGCACGACACACGCTATGGACTACGCCGCGCTATGGGGCCACCTAGATGTCGTACGCTTTCTACATGAGAACCGCCAAGAAGGTTGCACTGCGAGAGCCTTCAACGAAGCAGCTCTGCGTGGACACGTGCAGGTGGTCGAGTTCCTCCTTTACAATCGACCAGATAGATGCAATGTCGCCCAAGGGATAAAGCTGGCACGTCAGCGGAAGTGTCAAGCGGTACTCGAGCTATTGGAGTCACTTCCAAGCGGACTAGCTCGCGCACTTTGACTTTTCCGGAAATGTACAGTGTATACTACGTAGTATAAATTTCATTACTACTTTTTTGTAGTACATGTACTTTATTACTCGAGCGTGTGTCTCGTGGTACTTTTCTTGGCGTGTTGGTGGTATACTTGGACGTGCCATTTTACAGAAGTTGCGGATTCCTAGTTGGAAGACAAGAAGAATGTTGGACTCGGAAACTCACCACAAAGAGTATTGCTGAATCAGCAGCTGATAGCCTGTCAGTGACAGCAACACTCTTCGGCAGCAACTTGCTGTTGCAAACCGTGGGATGGATATCATCTGGACAAGTTGAAGTTGAAGTGTGTACTACACTGCTCGGCTGAAAAGTACTTCGATATAAAGACAAAGACATAAAGCAACAAGAAGCTTCCTTCTCGGCTGTAAACCACTCACACTTCACCTGTCGGGTCCTTCTGCTGAGCGTGTTGCGTCACCATCCTAGAACGTTGAGCTGAGGAGTAGTGAAGCTAACGATCTAATCATACTTTCTTTTACCTTTCAGTGGACTGGTGAAAGTGCTCCTAGGGCATACGGATCAAGTGCATTATCCAAGAGGGTTATGAGCCCAAAAGACTTTTGGATTTTGTTCACTAGCGTGATCTAAGATGTCAGGACCATTAAAGTACACGAACGACGGTGTCCCAAAGAACTGGGATGGGAAGCATTGGCAGCAGTACAAATGGGCGATGGAGATAGTCTTCAAGAAGAAGAAACTCACGGATATCGTGAATGGGAATCTCACGAAGATGATGCTCTTACGTCGGAGGCTGAGGAAGAGTTTGATGATCATCAGTTGACCATCATGCAGCTCATGGGGATGTCACTGCCAGCAGAAATCTTCCACCAGATTCGCGACAAATCCACCGGAACCGACATGTGGAAGGCGCTCTGCGTAATCTATGAGAGCCGGAAGAACCGAACTACTATGGCTCATAGAGCTGAGAGCATTAGACACGAGCTTGATATGCTCAAGCTATCCTCGGGCGGAGACGTCAACAAGCACCTGAGTACGATGTTCAGCTTGCGGACGGAGTTGCTGTCTCTCAACTATCAATTCGACGACACCGCAATGGTGGAGTTAATGTTGAACAGTCTACCGCATACGTATGAGTTTGAGAGTTTGAAGAGTTGTGTTCGATACAATTGTGCTGACACATACATCACCCCAGAGCGGACTCGAGAGCTTATTCGGGTTGCTGACTCTCGACAGAGAGTTTTTCAAGCTAAGAGTGGGGAACGCAGCCAGAAAAGCGGTAGTGTTGAGAATCAGAAGGCCGATGGCAATGGACAAAATCGTAAAAAACCTGAGAAGTTTAAAGACACAAAGAAGAAGGTGAAAAGTGCTTTGTTTGCGACAGTACTGAACACCTTATTTCGGAGTGTCCGCAGAAGATGAAGAACCAAGACGGGGCCAGAGCTGCTGGAAGCGAGCAGAAGAAGAAGGCACGTGCAAATGTGACTCGTATGGGCCACAACGAGCCATTGGGCTCAGATACAGAAGAAGTACATGTATCAGAAGAAGTAACGGACGCTTTGGACGCTCTACTGATCGACGCCAGACTGCCGGCGGAGAACAGCGAAGAGAATGAAGCGGGTTCAAACATGAAGAAAGAGGCAAGAGGTAATGAAGCTGATGCTACTGTTAGCTGTTGGTACGATGGCCTCGAACATGATGAACATGAAGTAGACACAAGTAGTGGGTGGTGGTACTTCGATACGGCTGCTAGCGTGCACGTGACGGGAAACCCGTGGTATTACGTGGCGTTTACACCGGATTTAAATCAATCCCAGCATGTACTTGGGGTTACGCCTGCGCTGGCTTCTCGGGTGGCTGGAGTAGAAACTGTGCAGCTAATAACTGAAGTTGAAGGCGAGCGAAAGGTAGTGTACCTAAGTGACGTCTTCTACATTCCTGGTGCTACACATGGCCTATTGTCAGTCGGATTAGCTACGGAACAAGGTTTTGACTTTGATTACCATGGACAAATGAGGTGCTTTCGCGTGAAAGATGAACACGACGATACTGTAATTGTTGCAACACCGGAGGATGGAACTTGGGGATTTCAAGTGAGCCATCCATCCAGAAATGGATTTATTAGTCCACCGGATCGGCCGTTGTGCAATTTCACAGTTGCGGAAGGAGTGGCTTCTTTGAAACTTTGGCATGAGAGATTGGGGCATGTGTGTCCACAATACTTGAAGACGATGGTCGACAAGAACCTCGTTCGTGGCATGATGCTAAGGCAGAGAGAGCTAGGAGCGTGTGACGCCTGTCATATTGGCAAGCAGAAGCAGCGAAGACTCTGGAAGAAGATGGATCGCAACACAAAGGCTCCGAATTAAATGGTATACGCTGACTTACTGATCCCTAGTAAAGCTAATGGTACTAGATTCGAGGCTGTTCTTGTGCTCATGGATGGGTACACCCGCTTTGTGAAAGTTCACATGTTGACTAGCAAGTCAAGCGAGGTAGTGAACCAGCACATGAAAGAATATGTACTCTGGGCTGAAAGACAAGCTGGTCGTCAGCAGGATGGCCCTATTCGAGTGAAGTACAGAGTACACCAAGTCTTGACAGACAAAGGCGGTGAATTCGTTAACACAGTAATGGATAACTGGTACGGAGTTCACGGCATCGAGCATGTGAAGGTGGGTCCAAAGAGTTCACAGCTGAACCTTTGCGAGAGGACGCATCAATCTCTCGTGGAGATGACGAAGTCGATGATGCATGATGCTGGATTTCCTGTTAGTCTGTGGCCTGAAGCGCTGTGCAGCGGGGCTGCCGTAGCTTTAGCGTCAGAGGAAGACGTTCGACTCAAAGAGTCACTAATACTAAGTTCCTTATCCAAAGGACACTTACAGCCCAAGACCAGGGCTCAAAGTTAACACCTTAACTTTTATGCTTCGAAACCAGAAGTGTTTTATTTACTATTATTGCGGCCAAGCCGCCTAGGGGTAAATGTATCTCTTTAACTATCTAGCATAGTTAAACCTAATCAAATGCATAACGTGTGGCTTTCAGCCAACGTACTGAGAGACCTTGTTAACTCTCCAACTTATGTACTGAGAGTTTGTTAGCTCTCCGGGTACTTCGTACCCCTGTGTGTTCCACACCATGTAACCCCGTTACACGCTGCGTAACGCAGTGTACATCAAGAGCAGAGCCTACAATAAGGGAACTCAGAGCATTCCCTATGAGATGATGTTTGGGATCAAACCGACCTCCATCACATCCGCAAGTTTGGTTCACTTGCTTATGTGCATGGACCCAGTGACACCAGGTCGGAAGAAGTACCCATGATAACGCGCGACTGGGTTCTGTGCTCGGTAATGCCCGAAAGATACCGTGGGTTGTAAAGTCTACTTTTCTGATGATCGTACAGCTAAATTTCGTATCCCGATCTTCGCATTAGTGAAGATGTGATGTACCGAGATCGTCATGGAGCAGATTTGGAGGACGACGACTTGGAGTCGTTGCACTTTACGAAGCGCAGTAACATGGAGTCGAGTACTGAAAACTCAACGCTCGAATCCACTATGGATCTGAGTGAAGTCTGCAACTCGAACGCTGCTCCGATGATGAGCGAGGTCACGCTCGAAGCGACCAGAGACCTCGAGGAAGGCGAGGACGATACTGCGCAACGAGTTAAAGAGCGAGATGAGGTGATGACGGAGCTTAGGGAGGCGCAACAAGCATCATTACCGTCAAGAGCATCTGCAAACTGGACAGGACTGGAAGGAATCGAAGACACAGTGACTGAACCTCCGTGTGTTCCGGATGTTGAAGGGGTGACGGCGGGTTTACCTAGTGCTCTGACTGCACTGCAGAGTGAACAATACCACAACCAGAGTGATGATCTTATACAGGGTGACGGTGTGAATTCTGAAGGATCAGCGTCGAAACTTACGACAGTGTATGGATACACGAAACCTGACATGACAAGTGATAATGAGTCTGCTGTCAGTGTGTGTGGTTCATTGGACGTTAATGCTGATGGGAGTTCATCTGAAGTGGACACTGAAGAGCTGCATGCAGATGAAAACCTTTCTGAATCGGTTGTGAATGAAGCGAATCTTGTAGCCGATGAAGACGGAGATATGCTGGTTGACGTTGATGAGAAATTCAGTGAGGATGCTGACAACGTTACCATTGCCAGTACGTGTGAGAAATTGGTATGCAAGCGTCAACGAGACGAAACCAACTCAGAAATGGGTCGTGTGGAGATATGTGCGGAACGTGAAGGTCCGAAGCGAACTCGAACTGGTCTACGTGAGTATCACGAGCGTCGTCGGCCTAAGTATTTGGATGCCTATGTAGTCAACGCGGTGCAGAATACGTCACGTGTACTGGATGAGAATGAACGTCCTATACGAGCAAGTGATGTTCGGATTCCACGCAACCACCGCGAAGCTATGCGAAGCAAATACAGTAACTATTGGCGCGAAGCCGAACTGGCAGAGATGTCGGCAATGAAACGACGTAGAGTTCTGGAAGAGATTGCGTTTGAGGATGTTCCGAAGGATGCTAAGCCTATCAAGACACGCTGGGTCTATAGTGTGAAGTCGGATTTTCAGGGGTTTGTGATTCGCTTCAAAGCTTGACTAGTTGCTCTCGGCAATTATCAGAGACCAGGAGTGGATTTCATTGACACGTTCTCGCCGGTGGCACGAATGTCTTCTTTCAGGCTTCTAGTGGCATTAGCTGCGGCTCTGAACCTGAAGCTCTATGGAGGAGATGTTGATACGGCATATCTAAATGCGTTACTCGGAATCCTGCAATACGTGAAGTCGATTGACGGATTTCCGTGTGAAGTGAATAGCCACATGTATGTGGTGACCAAAGCGTTGTATGGATTGAGGCAATCTGGGCGCGAGTGGAACTCTGAAATTAACCAGTGGCTTCTTACTCGTGGCTATCAGAGATCGTTGACCGAGCCATGTCTGTACTATCGTATTGATGGAGAAGATGTAATACTTGTCCTTGTGTATGTGGATGATATCGTGGTAGCGACCAAGGATGAGAAGAGCAAGAATATTTTGTTTGAAGATTTGGACCAAGAGTATGGACTCAAGGACCAAGGACTATTGACTGCATATCTTGGGGTTGAAGTTAACCAGACAGAAGAGCAGATTACAATCACTCAAACAAAGTATACGCACGAAATTTTGGAGAAGTTTGGCTACGGTGAAGCTCATGCTGTGGGAAATCCCATGGAAGTGAAGGCCAGATTTGTCCCGCTGGAAGAAGGCGAGACAAGCGACACTAGTTTCCCGTACCGTGAAGCTGTGGGTATGCTGATGTATTTGGCGACAAGAACACGTCCTGACCTGGCATTTGCACTGAGTCAGTTGAATAGATTTGTGGCAAACCCATCAAGTAAGCACGTTGGTGCATTGAAACGTGTCCTACGCTATCTTGCGGGTACTGTGAACTATGGAATAACTTACGATCGACAAGAGATAAAGTCGAAGGCTATAGTACTCGAAGGACATTGTGACAGTGACTGGGCCAATGACCCAGAAACTCGGAAGAGCACGACAGGATTCGTTTTTACACTAGCTGGTGGTGCCATTTCATGGATGTCGAGACGACAGTCCATTGTAGCCTTGTCCACTGCTGAAGCTGAGTATGTGACTGCATGTGAGGCTGCTATAAAGGCAATCGCAGAGAGTAACATCTTACATGAAATTCTCCCGCACCACACTGTGTAATTACGCATTGGTATTGACAACCAAGCTGCACACGTTCTAGCTACAAATCCTACCTACAGTCGCCGCACTCGACACATCGAGTTTCGTTGGCATTACGTGCGTGAACAAGTGGAACGTGGAGTGCTCAATCTACATAAAATCAAAGGGGATGAGAATCCTGCTGATACTTTTACGAAAGCACTGGACAAATTGCGTCTCAAGAATCTGATTGCTAGTGTTGGCATCGGAGATGCAAAGTAGTCAAAGCTGGAGCTTCGAAGGAGGCGTGTTGGAATCCAGATTCATATCTAAGACCAGAGTCAACGTGAAGTACAAGACGGATGGTCGAACTACGGGACCTCGCACAACTGAGATGAGCACAAAGGTGCTGTGCAGTATAGTGAAGACAAATGATGCCAGGCCAATGCATGAGAAGCGACTGCATGGTCGCAGAAGAACGTTGAGCTGAGGAGTAGTGAAGCTAACGATCTAATCATACTTTCTTTTACCTTTCAGTGGACTGGTGAAAGTGTTCCTAGGGCATACGGATCAAGTGCATTATCCAAGAGTCGAGTTCCTCCTTTACAATCGACCAGATAGATGCAATGTCGCCCAAGGGATAAAGCTGGCACGTCAGCGGAAGTGTCAAGCGGTACTCGAGCTATTGGAGTCACTTCCGAGCGGACTAGCTCGCGCACTTTGACTTTTCCGGAAATGTACAGTGTATACTACGTAGTATAAATTTCATTACTACTTTTTTGTAGTACATGTACTTTATTACTCGAGCGTGTGTCTCGTGGTACTTTTCTTGGCGTGTTGGTGGTATACTTGGAAGTGCCATTTTACAGAAGTTGCGGATTCCTAAAGAAGAATGTTGGACTCGGAAACTCACCACAAAGAGTATTGCTGAATCAGCAGCTGATAGCCTGTCAGTGACAGCAACACTCTTCGGCAGCAACTTGCTGTTGCAAACCGTGGGATGGATATCATCTGGACAAGTTGAAGTTGAAGTGTGTACTACACTGCTCGGCTGAAAAGTACTTCGATATAAAGACAAAGACATAAAGCAACAAGAAGCTTCCTTCTCGGCTGTAAACCACTCACACTTCACCTGTCGGGTCCTTCTGCTGAGCGTGTTGCGTCACCATCCTGCGCCGGTGGAAGAAGCCGCCTCCCACTAGCGCCAGTCCAACGATGATGCCGACTATAAGCACTGGTAAGACCGACTTAAGCAGGCGCTGAACGAGATGGTAATAGTCCACCGACGAGCTGCCGACCGTAGCGCTCTCCTCGCCCCAATAAGCAGGGAAGATAACCTCCGCCTCGAGGTTGGGCCACAGCACGTCAGACATTGGCGCCGACTCGTTCAGAGCCGAGCACGACATGGCGTACGACGCCATCAGTCGCTTGTGGGCCACCATCGTCTTGCTTGTTCCAGCCTCCACGTCGATGTACGTCACGTATTTGTCAATGTACTCTTGTTTCAAGTCGCCCAAGTCGTACATGGAGTCTCCAGACGCCACCACGCCGTCGCTCATGGTGATCTCTACGGCGTCCAGTAGCGTCGTGTTGCCGTATATGTAGATCGGGTAGGACACATACGCCAAGAACCCTGTAGAGAACACTAAGGGCTGCACGCCATCCACCGGCCAGCCTGTACCCTTGGCGTTGTTAAACTGCGAGTTGACCAGCAGATCATTGGGAGGACTGAAGCGATGAAGAGTGATCCCCTCGTGGTCGACCTCCTGTCCGGTCAAGTATAAAGTTACGTTCTGCTTCCCTTCATCCAGAAACATATCGGATAATGTCTGCGTCAAAGTGTCCTCAAAGCCAGTCATGCCAGCACCTCCAGGTTTAATGCTGGTGGCATCGTTGCCTTCAACGGCACTGCACGTGAGGTTTGCTGTGGGCTTGGCACAGTTCCCGTAGTCGTTGAACGCGATGATTTCCACCAGTGTCGGGTTGCGACGTTCCTCGCCGAGTGTGGTGACCCACAACGGCGTAGAGGTGAAGCCATTAAACTCTTCATACTCAAGAATCTTTGAGTCATCCTTGCAGCCTGTAACCTGGATGTATGTCTCGAGATTATCAGCCGAAGGGGGCGTCTTGGAGTAGTCGAGTCCCGAATCCTCAGCGATACCAGGCAGAGGGGCAGCACAAAGTCCAAAAGCTTCGCACAGATTGCACGTGTTGTCTCTAAACGTGGCTGCTTCTTCCGCACCATATTCCGCAGCGTAGATCTCCTCGATGACCCCGCATGTGACGTTGTTGATCGCGACGACGCTTGCCCCCAGAGCGCATTGTTTGCATTCATACCAGATATCTAGACAAGCGTCTCCCTCACAGCTCGCACATTGGCTGTTCCATCCATTCGTTACATTGCAGCTCGAGATGAACTCGCTGCCCAGACCCAATCCAGCCAGCAGACTCGGGTACCCTAGAGCCCACTGCGACACCGTTCGGGTGACGAATAGTCCGTTGTAGACGAACCCGGACAGATCCAAGTCTGCAATAGCTTGTGGCCCTGTAGCCAGGAAAGTCAGCACTTTGCCACCACTCGCGACGGTGTTCATGGCAACGGGATCCAGCGAGTTGAGCCCATTGACCCAGCGCATCATCTGCGGTCCAAAGCTCTCGACGGCCTCCTCAATGACCGTCTCGTTCGTAGAGAATTACCCGGCCGCCAGCCTCATGAGGAACGCCTTTTCTCCCCCTGCCTGCGCAATGACGTTCAGGTATCCGACGTCGAAGCTCGTGAATTTGTCCAGATCGGAGCATCCGTCGCAGCTCAGCGATTCCTCGAACGTGTGGTAAGTGTAGGACTTGTAGCTCACTCGAGCCCCGTCGTCCAGGAAGTTGATGTCGATCTTGAACTCGCGGCGACGGAAAACGTAGGGCCCACTTTCCACCAGTTGCAGCTTGGAGGCGTCACCGGCTAGGTATGCTTCGGCATTCGAGGCATTGAACATGCGCAACGTGTAGTAGTACGGATTGCAGTCGTCACAGTCGCCGTACGCGTCGTAGTACGATTCCTCTTCAGCTCCCGACGCGTCACACACAACAACGCCATCCTTGACCTTGTTGTTTATGACTGGCGGTAACGCTGATCCGTATGCAATGGCGATCACTGTTATGAAGCCACCGAGGACGATCAAGATGAGACCGAGTTTGCGCAGTCCGCAGCAGCCACTTCGTATGGGTGACGAAGTTTTAGTGCCCGTGTCTGTGGGTGTGGTGATGCTGCAGATTATGAACCATTCGAATGGTGTTAGAAGCAGAGAATAATGCTAGGCAGTTGAGATGATCGTACCCGCTATGGTAGTCATTGGAGGGTGATGCTGTCATCGGAACCTGGTGGTTGATCCGAGGTGTTACTAAGGAAGTTCGGTTGGTGAGTTGATTCGAGGTTGTTGCTTGATGGAGGCGAAAGCGAAAGTGAGATGGCGGGACTTCGAACTCATCTTTACAGGAAGGTTGCCGCCGTTGAAGTCGCCCACGATCAGGTCGACGGAGAGTCGCCGGTGGTACCGACATACCACCAGCTCATCTCAATAGGCGCTGCAGTCCAGACCAATCACTACTGCAACTGGTACGCAACTCAGAGCAACTCAACTTAGGTGTTTTTATTAATATCATAGTAATAGCCTGCCAATCAGAAAATATTGCCGGTGCAGTGCAAGTTCAACTCTGTAACGGGGTACGTAGCCCTAAGTGTACCCTGGTTACATAAAGTGTGACACTTCACACTTCAGGAGTATGACACGTCATACTCCTATATATTTGGTACAAGGTACCAAGATCGTTCAAAGCCAACCATTGGCTAAATGACATTGCATTTCTATAGGTAACTAATAGTTTGTATTAAACCCAAACTTAACCTACCTATAAATATACTCAGTTTACAATCTACCTTATTTAGGTCACTTCGCTCTCTTTAATTAAAGAGGGGACCTGTGAACTGCCGTTCACTGAGAGTTTGTATACTCTCGGAAGATAACTTCCTCTAGCGCAAGGTGCTGTGTGACCCCGTCACACTTGGTAGCACTTGTAGTCAATCCACGCCACCGCGGGTAGACTACCTGAACCTCTCCGAAGTTCGTTGCCATGGATAGGAACGACTTCGCCCATTTGAACGACTCTCAGTTCGAGACGGTTCGGAAGATGGCAGGCATCTTCGGGATGGAGGCCCTGCAGAGCCTGGTGGTGTCAGCACCGACTGAGCAGCTCGAGCGCGTCAATGCATTTGACGCGTACGAGCAGGGCCTCATCGCGCATGTGCGGGAGAACCTGCAGGCTCCGGCGGCGGAAGCAAATCCGCCTCACCCGAAGCCAATACGGCTGAAGGTTAAGCCGTATGAAGGGAAGGAAGGCGAGAACCTTCACTTCTGGGTCCGAGAAGTAGAGCTCGCGATGGACGCGGCTCTGATCTCGACCGAGCAACTGCGTGTTGCTTTTGCACTCTCCAACCTTAGCGGTCGTGCTAAGAGCTGGGTGTACACTCGGGAAGCAACATCCCCTGGATGTTTCACATCCTGGGCTCAGCTGTGCGAACAGCTCCGAGCCGCGTTCCTCCCGGCGAACTACGAGTACCGCCAGCGTTCGCGCTTCCTCGCGTGTAAACAAGGAAGGCGCGAACTGCACGAGTATGTGCAAGAGATACGGGAGCTCACGGCGTCCCTAGTGGGAAACCCACTCAACGAACACATCAAGATGACTGTATTCATGGACGGCCTTCGAGTGGGCCCCGCACGCACTCAGCTGTTCCGGGTGCAGTCAAGCACCCTTGAAGAGGCGATTCAAGTGGTTCTTCAAGAAGAGTACATCCATCGCCAGGCGCGTACGCCGGCCTCAGCGTGGGCTGGGAGTTCTTTGTCGGCTCCCGGTCGAACAAACCCCAACGGACCAGTTCCCATGGAACTCGGGTCCGCCGAACAGCGCGACATCCGCTGCTTCGGCTGTGGGAAGATGGGCCACTTCAAGCGTGACTGCCCCGCGGAAAGACTCCGCCGACGGTCCTTCCCCAGGCCCGTTCTCAAGGGTCGCTGGCAAAAGCCAGGATCCCGGGGGCAGGGGAACGCAGGGAACCAGTAGGGGCGGGGCGCCCTACTGGGGAAGAACTAAGTCTTCGTGATGGGTGCGCGGGTGGCGCGTACCACGGGGACTTAGTCCCTGAGAGTCTTCGCACTCTCGAATCGGCGAAGAGCAGCGGCGGGTTGCTCATCGTACACGGATGTGTACGGGGATACGATCATCCCTTTAGAATCTTGATTGACTCTGGGGCGTCGAAGAATTTCGCACGCCGCCAGACGGTTGCTCGTAACAGCAACAAGTTGTCCGAAGCTTCGAGAGAAAGCAAGGGCAACGGGACGGTGTCAGTGCGACTGGCCGACGGGAAGGTCGTCACTGTCCTCAACGTCCAAGTGTATCTGGCTGTCAGGTTTGAAGACTTTGACAGCCTCGAACACAGTTCACTGTTCTCGATATGGATCCATATGATATGATCCTGGGCATGCCCTGGCTTGAGAAGCACGAGCCCTGGATCGACTGGCGAGGCAAGGCAATCGGTGCCAGCCGCCCTGCGCAGTCCGACAGAGCATTGGTGAGTCATGTTCCCACCTCTGTCAGGACCCGGGGCGCCCGCGAGGGCTGCCAGGGTACCAAAGCATCCGGCAGATGCTTGGGAGTCGTCGACGTATATGACGACTCCGAGGATGTTTTGATGGTGGCCGCGCCTAGAAGAGGCGCCGGCCAAGTGGGTAACTTAGGTCACATGCGGGTGACTTAGTTCCGCAGACAGCTGCAGCTGTCATGAACACTGAGAACTGCGTGTTCAGAGTGGGTAACAGAGTTTCACTCACGGTCGCCCAGACCATAACTGAAGAGGAAGACGTCGGATACGCTTCCTGTGTGGGTAACACAGTGCCACACGCGGTCGCCCAGACCTTAACTGAAGAGGAAGGCGTTGAACACGCTTCCTGTGTGGGTAACACAGTGCCACACGCGGTCGCCCAGACCTTAACTGAAGAGGAAGGCGTTGAACACGCTTCCTGTGTGGGTACAACAGTACCACACGAGGCCACGAGTGCCTCGGATGTCGTAGCGACGACATCCCTAGACGTGGGCAGCAAAGCTCCCCGTCACAGACGCCGTCGACAAAGACGCCGCCGCCGCCTCAAGTCGGATTCGAACTTCGTTCCGATCGACGTCGCTTCAAGCGACTCGGAGTCCAGGGCCCGGGCTCCTCCGACAAGGCCGGTGGAAGAGTGTTATCACTTCTTCGATGGCGAGACAGGTTTACCCGTCAAGGCATCTGGTGTCCACTTGGAACCGTTGCCAGAGGGTGCAGAGATACTGCACCTCGAGGAAATGACGGCTGAGTCTTTCCTGACCAACCTCAAGGCTGGAGAGATTGCTGAGATGGTACTCATGAGACCTGAGTCTACTCGGGAGGAGCTGAACTCCTCCTCTATCTTGGACGAGAACGTCCGGGAAGACCTAAACAAGCAGCGTCAGGCGCGCTTGGGTTCTGCGATCCTTAAGAGCCCCAAGGATCCGGTGTATCCTTTGGTGACGGAGTATGCGGACGTGGTGAGCAAACACCCACCGACCCAACTCCCACCGGATCGAGGCGTACGGCACGAGATTGATCTCGTGCCTGGCACAAAGTATTGTGTCACGAGGCAATGGCCTCTCCCGCGCGAACAGTGCGAGGTCATTGATGCCTTCTTCCCCGCGAAAGCGAAGGCAGGCATGGTGCGGGATTCGATATCCCCGCACTCGACGCCGACTTTCTGCGTTCGGAAGCCGAACGGAAAGTGGCGTCTGGTTCACGCTTATAACAAGCTGAACAACGCTACGGTGCCGGCCCAAACACCAATCCCACGAAAGGATGTGTTGTTGAACAACATGGCCGGGAGCGTACTGTACAGTGCGCTGGATTTGGTAGACGGATACTACCAAATCCTGATGCGAGAGAGCGACATCCCGCTCACCGCGGTAAGCACTTCAAGCGGCATGCTTTGGGAGTGGCTCGTCATGCCGCAGGGCTTGTCTAACGCCCCGGCGACGTTCAATCGCCTGGTGATGCAATTGTTCCGCCCTTTGCGTACCTTCGTACAGACGTACTTCGACGACATATTCGTCCATAGCCGTGCCGAGGGAGGAAAGACGGCCATGGAGGTGCATCTAGGACACCTCCGTCGAGTGTTGGACGTAATGCGAGCGAACAAGCTCTACGCCAACATCGACAAGTGCGTTTTCGCGTCACCAGAGATCAAAGTTCTCGGTTGCTTCGTAAGCAACGTGGGCGTTCGGGCTGACCCAGACAAGGTCAAGGCCATAGCAGCATGGCCGACGCCCCGATCCCAGAAGGATCTTCGAAAGTGGTTGGGCTTGGCCAACTACCTTCACAAGTACAGCGCTGGGTACGCGGGCTTCGCTAAGCCCTTGTCGAGCCTCCTTCAGAAGGACGTCGACTGGCGCTGGGAGCAAGAGCACCAGGATGCTTTTGACAGCATCAAGGCCAGTCTCCAAGAGGCCCCTGTCCTGGCCCTGCCGGACGAGACGAAGCCGTTTAGCGTCGTCTGCGATGCCTCCAATTACGCCATCGGATGTGCATTGCTGCAGGCCGACACGGCTGGACAGGAACGAGTCATCTCGTTCCAGTCCAGGCAGCTCAAAGCCGCCGAGCGGAACTACCCTGTCCATGACAAGGAGCTCCTGGCAATGAAATATGCCCTTGTGTAGTTTCGTGTTCACCTTCTGGGCTCTAGGCCCTTCGTGATCTACACAGACCACGCGTCCTTGAGGACGGCAACTAACTCGCCTCACCTCTCCAAAGGATGGCGAGGTGGCTGTCCTTCTTCGCGGAATACAACTTCCGCGTCGAATACAAGCCGGGCAAGCTCAACGTGCTTGCGGACGCCCTCTCTCGGCGTCCCGACGATGAGTTGGCCCACATCACGCGGGT